TTTGGTTCGACTTTCTTTTGGGTTAATCCTAAACTCTTGGATTAATTTGACTTTCTTGGGTTTGTCAATCTCGTTGTGGGTTTTGTAGTCAACGTTGCTATGGGGTTCGCATCAGTTGCTCTGCAAAGGGCCGCTAATATGACATCGTTCGGGTACGTCAAGAATCGTATGAAGTTTGTGATTGATCAATAAAGGATTCATCACTCTTAAATAGTAGGAGATTATGATCTGCGTTTCATTCAATTAAGTCGATGATGAAATCCTTGGCCAAGGTGTAATCATAAGTCGAAAAGGAGTTTTCGACTTATATTGACTTAATAGTGGAGTGAAAGATATGATCGATGATCGAGATTGACACACTTCCATATCTCGTAATTGATCGGATCATATTGACAAAGGGATTATAGTTTCACGGTAAACGAACGAGTTTAGTTTTGTCACACCACATGTCATTTCCCGTCACATGTATTGCCCTGACACATTGCTAGATGTCAATCAGGGACGACGAGTGTGAATTGACGATAAATTAAAAGGGTGTTTTAATTTATTAATTTTGATTAGATTAAAATAATATTTCACGTCTTTAGACATCGTGGTCGGGAACATAATGGGTCGCACATAAAAGAGAATTGGAAGATTGCAAATTGTCAATTGGTTAATTTAACAATAGTTGGATAAATTAGTTAATTGGATTTGTTATTTATATTCCCGAATTAATTAATTAGACTAATTAATTCACGGACCAGGTTTAATTAAATGGATTAATTAAATATTGGACCGGACCGGACCGGGCCGGGCCGAACTCGTTTGGGCATATATAAATACATGACTAGAGTTTGAGGTCCATATGATTTTCATTATTCTTGCTAGCACAAGAGTAGAAAACCCTAGTAGCTGCAATCTTATTCTCTGTGTGGATCACCGTTGGAGGCTGGACAATTGGATAGTTGTGGGTGGCGAATCAAGATTGCTGGAACAAAAAGAAGAGCAAAAGGTTTGCAGAATTCTTCAAAGATAGAATCTTTATCACGATTTCTATCTAAACACAAAGGGATCCTCGGTGGGAATCGAAATAATTTTAATTTTCCGCTGTGCATGTATAAGTAGATTCTCAACAGAAATCATATAACATTTTAGTTTTACTTAACAAGTTCATAGTCTAAAACATGTATGTAGATTTAATTGTCATTTCAACAACTGAACGGAGATGCTGGGAAGCAATCAGTGATAATATCCACATAACGTTTCACTTGCTTGTGTAGCATGTTTCTTTTTTGTGACACGGACAACAGTTGCAGCTTCGATGGGTCTCTTCATAGTGTCATTCGTATGTGCCATCTTTGCGATATCTTCTGGTTTGGTTTTCGTCACTCTTCGTTTTGTTAGACTGTTGCCCCTTTCTCTTAAGTCTGACAACATTGTGATGGACCGGGTGATGCGACGTGGTAGTGTTCATATTCTCTTCTTTTGGTCTAACAATCTCCACAGAATCAGATGAGTCCCCATAACAATCTTAAAAAATAGGTGATGGGCCGAATTTCCACCTTCCCACATAATCTCTTACCAGACGGCCACACGTATATGGGTTCGACGTGGGCATTAATTCCATTTCAAGTAACGATCAGCCCATGGCCTAAAATCCAAGGAGTTTGTAGTCATTTCCTCTGCCATACCACTTTTTTGTGACTTCTCAGAACCCATGGACAACCAATGCTTTTGGTATAGTGGGAGTATGTTGGGTGGTTTTTTGTACCCAAACCGGCCGTATTAGTAGGGAAAGGTACTATCTCAACCAATTGCATCATCTTTTTGTTGCAAGGTGTAGATTCAGGTTTGGGTGTTGATGACTTATTTGTGGATGAAGCTTGAACTAACACCGATTTCTGTAAAAGGAAAGCTTCAATTTGATTGAATGGGTAATTTAACAATCGTGATTAGGGAATCTGCACCTAAGTGATTATCTACTTAAAAAATGTGAAAGTGGCGTGTTTGATGGTATCTATTCAACTCACAATTTGATATGCCTAGAATGAGTAAGTGATTCATACCCTTTTCCATATTACTCTATCTTTGAAGTAAATCATGAATAAAATATTAATACATATTATTTCCTGAAATTATTTTAAAAAATAGGTGATGGGCCGAATTTCCACCTTCCCACATAATCTCTACCAGACGGCCACACGTATATGGGTTGGACGTGGGCATTAATTCCATTTCAAGTAACGATCAGCCCATGGCCTAAAATCCAAGGAGTTTGTAGTCATTTCCTCTGCCATACAAAACCCTAGTCCCCAAAATTTCTATTTAAGCAAGAGATATAAACCCTAATACTTTATCATCCCATCTTTCCGCCTCCCTCTGTGTATGTGTGTATAGATGTGTTGGTCAGGTAAATGTACAATATTATATATTTATACGAATTTGGTTGATAATTATATTTGCCTCTTCTTAAGAACCCTTTGAAATTTCACAATTAGGGTTCTCTAATTGATGTAAATACTCATCATGGGGCAAAAAGTTTATGCAGGAGAGTTGAGTCGCTTTGCCTCAGTACAGTTGCGCCAGGTGCAGTGAATTTAGATCCTGCTAAATATATTCAATTATCACTTTTAAGTTTTTCTTCATTTTCGTATGAAAGATAGAAATTGGATTGGGGATTCCGATGATGGCATGAAATCTTTGAGACCTGATTGTCTAATTTGATGACAACTACAAGCATTTTCTTCTGAGGATATCCCCTTCCAAAAATTCAGGATTTTACAGTAAATTATCTTCTTTTTTAATTTTTTTTATATGCATTTTAATGGATTATTATTTTATTTATTAATTTATTTCATATTAGCAAATTTGGAAAATCGGAAAATAAATTTTATGGTAAATGCAATGATGTGATGATCGCACTGGGCTCTGATCAGTTAT